GGCATGATCTGTTTTAACAAACCTGTGCTGGCTACTAGTTATAACTTTATTTGCTTCTAGTTGGTTGCAGATCTGGTTTTTTATCTTTTCTAGGATTATCCCATGTACTGATGTTAGACTGATTGGTCTGTAGTTTCCTGGGTCTGTTTTTGTTCTTTTCTTGAAGATGGGAACCTTTTCAAATCTTCAGGTACATCCCCGGTGCTCCAGGGACAAATCTTCAAGTCCAAACTCCAGCCCAAGGTAGGAGACCTTATACCATCCCAGACAAATGGCTGTCCATTTTTTAAAAAATCTCCAGTGATGGGAGCATCCAAAACCCTTGGAAACAATCTGTCAGGAAATTACTCCTTAACTCCAGATTGGAGTTCCACTCATTGAGTTCCTTTAATTTTCTGATAAGATTTGAAGAATGGTTTGCATCGGCTCCTTCCTAGGGCTAAAAAGAGTGACTTTGTGGCTAAATTGGGACTAGAACTCACACTCTCCCAATTTCTAGTATTAATTAGTACATCAAATGGGCTTTCTTATGCCTTAGAACCTATTACTCTGCTTGTATTTCATTAGATACTTATTGTGAGTTAATCCAAAATACTTCTATATAAAGCAAACTAACACCTACCTGCCAACTGAAAAAACTGTTGTTTCCCCAGGGTGCATCTTGCTTTTGCTCTCTTTTGACCGGCCCTGACGATGTAAGGGAGGTCTCTTTTTCTTGCTGCAATGAATGCAAGGTGCTTGTGTTGAAACTAAGTGCACTGTGTGGTGATGAGGAATGCCACCATCTTGGCTGCTGCGATGTGGACATAGAGCACTGGAGAAAAGAAAAGACAAAGGCAATCAGCTGGGCCATTATATTTAAAGATTAGCAGCTGGATAAATGGAATTCTAAAGCAAACCCCATCAGCACATATAACACAAAGCTAGCACAGAGAAGGCAAAATCAGACTTCCATTCAGACTATTTCCAAACCCAGGGATAGTACGATATAATCCATGAAACTCCATTTTCTACAAAGTACATCTACTGAGGCCCAAATCAAATAAATAGGAGCTGTACAAGAACATTGCCCAATTGCTACATAACAATATAACATCTTGCATCAACACAATTAACATCCTGCATCAACAATTAACTAGGGCTATCTGAACCTGACCTTCTTTAGCCCCTCTGAATGACAGACATCTAACAGTCATTCAAATAGAGTGAAAACTACACACATGCATTCAATATGCAGCTGTTCTTACCACTCTTCTCTATCCTTGTAGACTCCATAGGCTATGCTGGGGCAGACCTCTAAATATTTTCTCTCCAACCACATTCTTTCCCTGCCTCTGGGATTTGAAACAATCAGGAAGAAAATCCTCAATTAGCACTTAGTGGCATTGTGGAGGGATTGCAAGACAGATGGCTGAGAATATCTTTTAAACTTCCCCACCTATGGCTGGTAATCTCCATTACACATGTTATGTTGAAAATGAATAATAAGGCAGAATGTATATCATACACATACATGCCTATGTACACTCCCTACTATATCATGTGATTTAGTCCTGAGCATGACTGAGGGAAGGAAGAAGGAAAACATGAGACATTCTCAAGATGTGATTGATACCAAGTTGAACCTATACAATCTCCTTGTCAGCTTTGGAAGCCATATTAACAACGGAGGCTTCCATGCTGCCACATTCTTGTGCTTGAGAAATTAGGAAGGAGGATTTAATAGAGGTGCCCTCCTTCAGAATGTAGTTAGACATAATAGCATTCTTCTTTTTGGTCAAGNGTAAAATGAGGACCCGGATTGTTGGGGGCAATATGCTGACTCTGTAAACCGCTTAGAGAGGGCTGAAAGCCCTATGAAGCGGTATATAAATCTAAATGTTATTGCTATTGCTATCTCTCACTGTGCCACTGAATGACCTCCTCTTGCAATTTCTCATAGATATTAAACAGAAGTGGAAAGAGAATCAAGTCTGAGGCTCTGCACATTAAAAAAAACCCACTAGATAAAATTCTCCTGCCCCACCCTCATATATTACAAATGGACCTGATCCTAGAGGAAGGGGGAGAACAGCATAATGCTATGTGGTCAGTCCCTCAATTTGTGGTTGAGAAGACGCTCCCAACTCCCCTTAAAACTACAAGATGCTCTCTTGGGCAGTAAAACAAATGCTACCTGTCTATATCTCAGGTCAAAATTCTCTGAAGAAATCTAATATTGTGATTTTACCAATTTGTATCCTCTCCCAAATAAGTCTTTAATATTTCTGACATCTCCACCACAAATGTCATCTCTACTGATGCAAGACATGGCAGATATGCTGGTTCATGTAACCATTGCTCCTTTTATTAAGTAACATGTTTATGCTTTCAGAGAATGCTCTGAATATACCTAGAGTAGTTACGCTGAGCATGTCCAGACACTTAACAAACTTTGTCTTCTGTGATGTGCTTTGCACATATCAGCAGTCATCACGGAGGTGTTTTTGCTTACTTGCATATGTGCAGTTAAACCTTTTACATTCAGGAGTGCAATGTTTTTAATCAGCTTTTATTTTTTTCCAGAAAAGTTCAAAAAAGGCATTGCTTGATATGTTTTTTATTGCTTGCTGGAGGGATGGAAGGATACAGGTATGTGTCTATATGTTTGTGTGTGTGCTTCCAATTAAACTTTGCAAAAAATATGTATACCTATTTAAGTTTTGGAAAAGACAGAAAAGCACGATGTAGGTTGACACATTTTTATTTCCTTCATTTAAGGTGGGGATTTTATGAACTCAATTGAAGCAAAACTTTAATTGTTCAGAAGCAATCAAAATAGGGTTTACATTAAAATATAGGTTTTCAATAGAGTCAAGTTTTGGAATTACCAGAGGTCCGTGCAATCAAGTGAAGGGTTGTGTTAATTTTAAATTTGAAGCTGGCAAGCCACATTTCCTGATGGGATTAGGTATCATGTCATATATGGCAAATATTGATTGTTTACTTTGATGATATCACTAATTAAAACAACTAAAACACCTCTTTATAAGTTAGTGTGCACTGTAGCTACTTATGGTGTCAAATCATTGGAATCAGGGGTGGTATTCACTTGCCTATCATACCGGTTCTTAAATGTGAGCGTGCACGTCCATGCATGCCAGGGGTGGGTTCCGGCAGGCACTATTGCTGGTTTGCTCATGTGCACGCTTTGCATGCATGCCTTGTGTGTGTGCTTTGCGTGCATGCGCAGTGCAATTAAAATTGTTCTGCGCATGCACAGAACAGAAAAATAAGATGGCGCTGCCACCATCGATGCCTGGAAACGTGGCAGACCTGGGTCACTGCTAGTTCCAGCAACCCAAGCCACCAAATCATTACTGGTTTGGCTGAACTGGTCCAAACCGGTAGGAACCTACCACTGATGCATGCACTCTGTCATCTACGCATGCGCTTTGCCTAAAAACAAAGGGCCTAAATGGGATGCCATAGAGCTGGGGGTGGGTGGGCAGAGCCACCTGCAATTTCTGCTACAAGTTCAGGCGAACTGGTCAGAAGCAGCAGAATACCATCTCTGTAATATATAGAAGAATGATCTCTGAACTCTACAAAAATGTTTTTTTCCCTATATATTCATCTGTTGTTGGCTATAATGAGACCCCCCAATGAAGGAAGGCAGTACCAAATTATAAAGAAAATCACTGTTATTTCTTCTTCCCGAAACAAATTTGCATCCAAAATAAAACCTAAATAAATTTAGATGACAGGTGAGTGAAATAGTTGGGAAGTCATTCAGATCAGTTAAATGCAACTATATTTGAAGGACTTGGACTTAAGACAAATTACATCCAATCTATACATGTTTTTATTAAGTTAAGTGACATGGATGGTTCTGCTGACATCTGCATATTTGAATAATTTGTTGTACCTCAAAGGTTTCCAGTGCTAAATGAAGCTTTTCTTGTTTTGTAGTCAAGGGACATTTTAAATAAAGTAACATTGCTTTCTGGAGTCTGAATTCAGTGTCCAGGAGTCTGGGTGGGCAATCTTTCCAAATTCGAAGAGAACTTGGTTTTTATTGCTGTCAGTCACTGCTGCTGGCAGGTGGGTTACTGCATCCCAAGAAATGGTTACATTCAGATACAGTGTTGGGATAACAATTGTCTGTTTCAGACTGTGGACCTTAAGTCTCTAATGTGAAGTGGAGCAAAAAATTGGACAAAACAAAATACTGAAGAATAAACGTGAGGTACAAAGTAAGTGTCCTACTGGGTGTTTTCTAAAGCTCCTTTCTGTAAATCAGTGAAATCCAAGGCTAAAGGAAAGAGACAGCCAAGCAAACAACCAAATGGATAGGGCAAGGGCACCACAGTTCAACCCTGGACTACAAAAATTATCCTCTATTGGAGGGACGTGTTCAGAGATGAAAAGATAAGGCAGAGAGCTAAATTGCAGAGGCAGTTATATGGTAGAGAGAAAACAATATTTTGCCAGAACCATTGATGGAACAGGAAGAAGTGGTCAGTTCTAATCATTGCAGAAAAAAAATAAGAAGTAACTCAGTTTGCTATGGTGTTTAAGGTATCAGGTTAAAACCAGAAGACAATGAGTTCTAGCCTTGTTTTGGGCACAAAGCCACCTGGGTGACCAGGTCCTTTCTCTCAGTTCCTTTCTCTCAGCCCCAGGAAGCAAGCAAGGGCAAACCACTCCTGAAAACCCCTGCCAAGAAAATTGCAGGGACTTGTCCAGGCAGTTGCCAGAAGTCAACACTAAAGGCGCGCATACACACACACACACACACACACACACAAAATGAGAAGAGTTTATGAATGGCCTAAAACTGCTTGGAAATTGATAGATGG